ACCAAATCTTCAAATCATTTTTAGAAACTTGAAATCAGGAACTTCATATCTTTTTGATGGCAAAATTTAATTTTACAATCGCTTCCAGTCATAAATTCTGAATGTCTCTATTTGCAATTCAGACATTACTTTTGTGACCACATCTTAGTTTACATTTGCTTTACTTTCAGCTAAGGTATTAAAAAAGTACTGTCTACCATTACATAGTTATTGTAACTAATCTGTCTGCCATTAATCCATGAATAGTTTTTGAAATGATTCTTTTCTTGCCATACCTAATATCAAGAAAAACTTTTTAAAAAATTCAAAGAACAAAAACAATGGTCCTTCCAGTCATAAATGGTCCTTCCAGTCATAAATTCTGAATGTCTCTATTTGCAATTCAGACATTACTTTTGTGACCAAATCTTAGTTTACATTTGCTTTACTTTCAGCTAAGATATTAAAAAAGTACTGTCTACCATTACATAGTTATTGTAACTAATCTGTCTGCCATTAGTCCATGAATAGTTTTTGAAATGATTCTTTTCTTGTCATACCTAATATCAAGAAAAACTTTTTAAAAAATTCAAAGAACAAAAACAATGGTCCTTCCAGTCATAAATGGTCCTTCCAGTCATAAATTCTGAATGTCTTTATTTGCAATTCTGAGATTATTTTTGTGACCAAATCTTAGTTTACATTTGCTTTACTTTCAGCTAAGGTATTAAAAAAATACTGTCTACCATTACATAGTTATTGTAACTAATCTGTGTGCCATTAATCCATGAATAGTTTTTGAAATCATTCTTTTCTTGCCATACCAATTATCAAGAAAAACTTTTTACAAAATTCAAAGAATAAAAACAATGGTTTTTGTTCAAAAATAGTTTCACGATCAAAAATATATATAGGAGATGGAGGACAAAAACTTTAGTGCCAAGACTTATAACCTTTACATTTTTAATCCCTCAAAAACATACAAAAAACTTTAATATTCAGTTGGAATACGCGCAATGCCCCTCTGTGATACAGAAATTAGTAAATCAAAAAAACTGTTTTATCACCAGGAGTTTGCATGGGTGCGAACATTATAAAATGTGAAAAAGGTTTCATTGTATTACTCAAATTTTTATGATATGAGCATAGGTTATTCTATATATTAAAATAAATGCAGATAATTTGTCCTACAAATGGATTTCGAAAAATGTTATGCACTCTTGACAATCAAGGAATTTACCTATATCATGAACCATTTCTGAGAATATCCGGCAATTTTGCAAAAAATTTTCGAACAAAACGATTTTTTGAGATAATTTTTGAGTGGTAGAGTAATGATTTAAATCATCCGGAAAAATGAACAAAATTTGAAATTTCAAACTCGTTTTTCTCAAATAGGGCTACGATTAGACAAAAAGTGAAGACAAAAAGTGTTTCGGCTTTAATGCTAGTTTAATGCTTTTTTAATTAATCAAAGTTTTTGCTGAAACTACTTTGTTAATAGATGAGAAAATTATATCACAAGAAGCCTCTATATCACAGAAAACCTTAATTTTAGGCAGCTTTAATCAAAAAACAAAATGATTTTATTTAGTCCACGCAATTGATTCTAAATATCTAATGAAATTGAACTGCAACGAAAATTTAATCTGATCTAAATTTTAAAAATTTACATTTTTCAGTACACACACTTACAAGCACACGTGAAATTTTTTTAAAAAGCTCCGAAAACAAGGAGTTTTGTTTGGCTCAAAATTTTTTAAGTCCAGTTTTCATGCAAGTTTTAAAATAGATCTCGTTACTCTAATTTCAACACGAAATTTTCTCATAAGTTGCGCTTCCATTTCAATTTTTGGCTTCTTGCCTCCTAAACCCTTTCCGCATTTTGTAGGTCAAAGAAACTACAAAAATTTTATTTGATACTTGATAACAGATCATATTATAGTCTTTGATTTCATGTCTAATTGAAAAGTTTTATTTGTTTTTTTTAAATTTTAAATTTTCATAGTTTCATTTGCCCAAGAATTTTACTAACACTCGTTAAAGGCGGCCTAATTTGAAATGAAAACAAAAAAATTTAGTCAAAAAGTATGCATGCGTTCAGTTTTTGTCATTTTTTGTAGGTATCCGACCAAATTGAAACGTTTTGGATTATGTCTTGCGCTCAATGTTTTATCTGACATTGAGCAAAAATTTACTTATTTGGTTCAGCTTATTAGAAGAATACTGAACGCTTCCATAAACGCTCGCACACGAGAGATTTGTGGTCTTCTTCACTAAACGAGCTAAAATGATAATTTTTTTAATTGATTTTCTGTTTATGCAGTTGAATCTAATTGGTTAATTTGGATCTTGTTAACTATTTCCTCCCTATTTTCAAAAATTCAACTTTGGCGGCAATTTTTTCAAAAGCTTAAAATAATTTTCAGAAAGTTTATATATTTAAAATTTCTCAAGTGGGTATTATAAAAGTAGTGAGTTATACAAATACGAACGCGCAAAAATGATAACTATTGACATGCATAGGGGGCTAAATAGTTAATAAGGTCCAAAAGGGTGGGAAATAGTTAAAAAGATCCGTTAAATTAAACCAATTAAATTCAGGTAGCATTATTAGGCATTTCAAACAAAATTTCCAGCAGATTAAGTTTCGAAATATTGTCCGAAATTATCGAAAATGTGAAAATTCAGTATAAAGATTTCAGCAGAACAAAATCTTTGGGACAAATTTATCATCCTCCACCTCAAGTCGTTTGCCCAAGGCGATTTATTAGCCAATCATAATCGATTGTTTTACATACAGCGCTTAGCAAGTTTAGTTTAAATTAAGCGCTGGGGTGGAGGATCTTAACTTGGTCTATTTGGGGAGGAGGATGTTAACTTGATCCAACTTTTGTATTTGTGGTCATTAGGCTAACATTTTTATCTGCTTAAATTCTAATCAATATGTCCAAATGTTGTTGAAATTTGATCGGTTACTTAGCAAATGAAATCAATATCAGTTTAATTTCACATAAAACTGATTTTGAGCTTTTTGGTGCATAAGAGTCGAGATTTGTAATAATAATAGCATACAGGAGAGCTCGTTTTCAAGATGAATGTTTTACACCAAAAATTCTTAAAACTGGGTTTTAACGACGTTCTCTCAGGTTTGAAAGTAAGCTAGAATTTTTTCTGTTTTACGGCCCAAAACTCATTGTTTTGCTATTTTGAAAAATGATAATAATGCTTGATTTTGACTAGATTAAATTGAAAATGCGATGAAAATTTAGCTTAAGTGCAAAAAATATTAGCGCTTTCAGCGTTTTGGTAATTTTGGGCCGCATAACAGAAAAAAACCCGTAGGCTATATTTTTTCAATAGCATTTTTAATTATGAGCCTTGAGATATTTGTGTTTTGACTTTCGATACAAAGTAACATAATATTTGTGCTCGGCGTGCGTTTTTTTCTTCAGACAAATTTCGACTTTTAAACTAACCATTTTTGACGGAATTTTTTAATGTCATTCGAAAGGCATTGGTGTCCTGAGCTTAAATTTGAAAAGCCATTTCACCTTTAATCATTTTTCGTTAAGTTATGGGGGTTTAAAGATTGCCATTTTGGCTAATTTGGGACAATTAACGCGCGATATACTTACGCTATTAACGCGTAAGCCGAGATTTAATCCGTCTTAGAAATCGTTCTAATTTGATTGAAAGAAGATTTTTTTGCCATAACTGATTTGTTACAAGGAGCGAAATCTATCTTTTTGTACTTTCTATGGCGTGTGGGATGATGATTTTCATAAAAAAACTCAAATTTTAGAGAAAAAAAATTCCATTTTATTTTTTCTAAATATTTTTTTTAATGTTATTACTGCTCCATAAGCCTTAAAAGGCAGTCGGAAAATTCAGGGCCTGAACGAGCCTGATTTCTCTTATTATTATCATGAATGAAAAAAGAGCTTTTTTTCTTTGTTTACTAGACTAGTTACTAATATTTGCCCATTGATAGAACTAATAAACTAACTTAAAAATGATTCTTTTTTGTATTTGCGATTTCATTATCACTAATAGTGTCATCTCGCAGTTTTCTAAGTGAGTGGGCGGTGAAACTGTTTAGTTTAGTGTTGGTGAAAAACCTGACTGGCTGGGATCGTTAAATGGAAATTCGTTGTTTTGAACTGATAGTATGTCTTAATGTCTCAAACTGTTTTCATGGGGAATCATTTAATGACAGAAGGACCGAATGCGCAAAATGTATCAACCAATCAGAGTTCAAGAACTAGCTTACTCTCTTGCATATTTCCTTTGAGTTTTCGAATACTGGATTCTGATCGGCTGACTAATTTTCGGCCAATCGGTCTTTCTGGGACGAGGGATTCCCCTATACTTTCATTTCCCGTTGTGCATCACTAACTATGCACTGCAGAGTCATTGTTGTCGTGTGGTGTTGTGTCCCACTTGATAACTGCTTTGGCCACTGCTCCTTATTCAGACTGTAACCACCCACCGTGTGATGAAAGAATAAGTCACCGAATGAATCATGACATCAGTTGCATAGCGGACTGTTCTCAAATAAATGTACAATTTGAACGAATCCTGTGATCATATTGACAAAGTGTGTTTTAATCCAAAAAATGTTATCGCAAATCGGCTAAAACTAGTTTTCTTTGAAAAAACAATTCAAGATTATGAAAGTTTAAGGAAATTGAGTACGCATTTTCATTTTCTTTATCATTTTGTATTGACCATTTCAAAAGTACATACGGTTCTTTTACTGATTAAAAAAAATTGACTTCTATAAAAGACTAATTGAATGGTCAATATTGTATCTTGTAACAAAATTTCAGGGATTGGGATAGCTAAGAAGACCTATACTGATGTAAACTTGCATACTTAGATCGGTAGCGCAGTGAAAATGACCTTTATCGATACTATCTATGATTTTCTAATACTTCTGCAGAACAGTCCGTCTCTCTTTTAATGCATTATGTTTACAATAATCTGAAGTGAGGCCTGTGTGGCTGGTGTGTTTGCAGGAGAAGATGAAGAGGGGTGAGATCTTGTTGACTCTGGCGTACAACCCTGTCACAGGCATCCTCAGTGCAACAGTGGTCAAGTGTAAGGACCTCAAGCCCATGGACCTCAGTGGATACTCAGGTACACTCGATCCATACTCAAAAAGAGAATACAACAAATAAAGATACTTGAACAACTTGAGTGCTTCTCATCTCAAAAAATCAATGTTGCAATCAGAACGAAGCGAAGCGACTCTAAATCAAAAAGAGGATCACGCAACGTTTACATAAATGCTTGCAAACGGAACTTGTGAAATAGCAAGGTCTTTGAATGTTTCAGCTGGGCCATACCAATCAAAACACTGCGATAATTTCGAAAACCTTGACAAACCCCACCCGTCCTAATATCTAGATAGCCACTTTTTTGGAACAATTCTCCTTTGCATAAAATTGACTCAGTCAAACAGAACTCTCCCCAGCACAGAAGTCTACCCTTGTGCTAGCTCCGACAGCACATTTGCTAAATTAATTATGACTTTTAAAATACTGTTTATCTTTTCTTTTCAGTTTATCTGTATTCATCGTAGGCGTCTAGTCGGCATTTGCTGTTGCCCTTTGTCTAATTTCTCCTTTCATAAATTAATGGTGTCAATAGTTCTTCACTTTTCTTTATTTATGATTTAGAGAAATAAATTTTTTCTTTCCTTTCTTTACCCTTCAGCTTTGCATGTAATTTAGACTCTATTGAGTGTGGGTGTGTTTAGATCCCTACGTGAAAATCTACCTGATGTATCAAGACAGGCGGGTGGAGAAGGTGAAGACTACGTGTAAGCCAGTTACTCTGAACCCCTCCTTCGATGAATCCTTCACCTTCAGAGTGCCCCCCTCCAAAATGGAGGACACCCAGCTCACAGTCACAGTCATGGATAGGGACCAGTTCAAGTGGAACGAAAAAATAGGTACACATGCGAGCCGGGCTTTATTTGATTCCCTTCTTATTTCGAACTTACCTTAAGATAATGTTTTCCTTTTGCCATTTACAATGTGCTTACTTGTTGATTTGTTTTCTTTTGTTGATCCGACCCTTTCGCGAATTCAAAAACGGCGGTGTATCGACAAGCATAAAGCTCGACTATCTTTAAAGATTTTAAACGTATCGATTAGCATAAAACCAAAACTTGGGTCATAAAAGTCAAATTGGGTTTATTTAGTTCTTCCCCCCCTAGGGTACCTAGTAACGAAATGCCACCCCTATAACAAAAAATTCAACGCCTAAGCATTTGTAAATTTTGTACCTAGTATCAAAACCCTCTCCTTTTGAAAGGGGGATAATTAGTGATATCCGTCAGTTTTTGAGTTTTTGTCAAATTTTTTAAATCATTATACACAGGTGCGAGGATTTAGGGATAGAGGCGTACTTTGAATGTTTTTGAGCGGTGAACGCGCTATAAAAAAGTGCCCATTTTGACCTGTTCTTTGAAAAAAATGCCTGCCGCGCAGAAAATTTGGTAAAAATAGAGTTTTTATAATGATATTCGAGAACTCGGAAAATCATTTTGGTCAAAATAAAAAAATTTCAACAAAGTTTTTGAAAATCACCCCCCCCCCCCTCACTAGAGAAAATCACTAGATTTCCTCCCACCCGTCCCTGATTATACACAAAAAATACCTATATCACAGTTCTTCTTACGCCTTTCACAATTTTTACAGCGCTTAGATCTCGGTTCAAGCCATAACAGGTTGGGGTGTGACTGATCAAAACTTTTGTTATATTTAATAATTTCATTTGCTTGTTGGTTGCTTAATTTATCCAATTTTATTGAGCTAATAAGTTTTCAATTTCTCAGAAATGCAAGGTTCAAATTCAAAGTATTGTTATTGTATTTTTGGGAAATAAAGCTATCAAAATTATGCTAGTCGATGCATTTTCAGATTTTCAAGCTATTATGCTAGGCGAGCTTTATGCTAGTCGAGCGGTCACCGTCAAAAACAACTTTAAACCGTACAAGAACTTCACGTTACTATTAGGCAACCGTACAAGAACTTACTGAAACTATTAGGCAAAGTCTTGAGAAAAGAATGCCCTTCAGAATTCATAAATTATTTTGACAATTATACTGGAACTATCAAGATTAGGACAAAGAGACTGAAAAATCAAAAACTTGTCATTGATTGCAAAAAAAAAACATTCAAAAATTTTACTTTGGGCTATGATAAGAAGACGTTTCAATTTTATGTCCTTTTATAGCTCAGATTTTCCAAATTTTTTTTAACAAAACCCTAGTCACACATTTAGACAGGTTCAACCACATGTTTTGACTTAATTATTTTTGAGATATGAACTAACCAACAAAATTACAAATAGACTTCAAACTATGCCGCATATTTTGCTCTGTTCGTAATTTTTACTTAACTAAAATCTTAATTATACTTATAAAGGATATAATGTATATCTAAACGAAATAATGTTTTTTTTTCAATTAAAATTTACTTTGAAAATACTTTAATCAATGCAATGACATCTAGAAAAAGAATATAGCTTAATCTGGTTTGTGTAAATTATGGAGTGGAAATTTAAATTTGGGTATAAAACTTGGAAGATTTAAAAAAAATGAAAATGTTTATACAAAAGTCTAAAACGGTAGGAGCCTAAAAACAGAAATTTTGTGTCTAATGGCGATCTACCAAAATGATCTGCATTTTGTAAAGAAAATATATAAAAATAGATGAAATGTTAAATATGTTTTGGAAACAATTCATTGTTATCATGATTAAAAATGGCGTAGCCTGGAGTATTTTTTCTCCAGATTTTCACTTTGTCAAAGCCTGCTCGTAGTTGGCAATCGTAATTGTGGTATCAAATCATATTTAAGCTAAAACAACAGCAATTTGGATTTCAAAAGTTTAATAAAATTGATTGTATTTATCAACATGTTTCCGTTTTTCAGATTAAATGACACAATTTAAACGGTTGACAAAATATGAGATTGAACTCAATTTAACGATTCTGTTTTTAAGATATTTTTATTTCTAATGTTTTAGCTCTCAGTTGGCATATTTTGACCTAAATCGGCCTTTACTGAAAAAACTTAGAAAAAACTTTAGTAAATGAAAAAAAAAAGTTGTCAAAAAAAATCATTCCTAACAACAATTGCTGCGATAGGACAGTTTGTGCGCAAAAGCCAACTCTCTTTGTTCAGTGTTGGTTATATTATTGAAGCGAGTATCAGTTAGTTCGAAAAATCATTTTGGTCGACCTAAAAAGTTCGACAAAATTTTAAAAATCAGCTTTAAGAAAACCCAGATCCGCCCTTGAACCGATAATTAGGCTTAAGAGACCAAACATAGCCAAACAATGACGGTTGTAAGACTTTCTCGAGGAAGGGGGACGGATTTTCAAAAAAAAAAATTCGAACAATTTGTCGATTTTTTTTTCTGAGCTCTTCCAAAAACTATGAGACCCCATTTTAATCAAATTTTCTGCGCCGCTTGAAAAACTTTTTTTGAAAAACTTGAACAAAAAATCGCTTTTGGTGCGCGCTCTCCCCTCAAAGTTAGTATATATTGGCGCGGTAGGTAGGTGCCTTTAGGTTGTTCAGCCAGCCAAAAATGGATATCTCAATAATTTTGTTCTTGGATCAGATTTTTTCCTGTTTTGCATCACATTTCTAAGGCACATTGATGCTTCATTTAAGTTGCGCAGCATGAGTTCAGGTTAAATAGTTTGAGAAAAGATTTATAAAAAGCAGCGCTGTCTTTGCATTTTCTGTTGCAAAACAATCTGGCTAGCAGGAAGTTCTTACACGATATTCCCAGCAGTTTAAATTTCAGATAGCGTTTTCTAGATAATTTTGAAGACGAGTTTTCGAGACAGTTGACAAAATTTTTATAATACAGGCAAGAAAAGAGAAGCGGTTGAATTTTTTGACAAAATTATTAAGGCAAACTCATTCAGTATTATCAGAGCAATCCCTGCTCCCCCGCTACCTCATCCAATAATTGGATGGTGGTATGTTCTGTAATTTTTGTGCGATTCATTTCCTATTTTAATAACAATTACATTTATTGCAGGTTTCTAATAATAATCAATCAATTAGGCCAAAAAGACGACGCATGTCAATTAGGCCAAAGACTCGAATAGCCGAAAAAAAAGTTCTCATTTTCCGGGTAGCCGATAGTTTTTTGAAAAGCAGCAGGAAGCAATTAAAAACAAGGATAACCGGTTGGTGCGCAATCAATAGCACAAAAATTTTCGACCACAAAAAAAACATATATATTTTTAGCAAATTATGATGTTTTTTGTCTGTTGGGCTATGAGCGGATCTGATTAAAAGCCTAAAAATTAGTTACATTCGATAATAAAAATAAACAAGACTGCTCGTATCAGGGCGAATCCCTGAATGTTCCGACTGCCTTTTAAGTTTTATGGAGCAGTAATAACAAAAAAAATTAAATGTAATAAAATAAAACGAAAATTAAAAAAAAAAATCATCCCCCCACACGTCATAATAAGTACTACATGATAAACTTTGCTCCTATTAACAAATCAATTATGGCATATAAGCTGCCTTGAACCAATTTGGAACAATTTCTAAGACGGATTAAATCTCGCTTACGCGTAAATAGCGCGAATTTATATCGCGCGTTAATTGTCCCAAATTGGTCAAAATGGGCAAAATGGCAATCTTTAAACCCTCAAAACTTCACAAAAAATAATCAGAGGTGAAATATCTTTTCAAATTTAAGCTCAGGACATCAAAACCTTTCGAATGATATAAAAAAATTCTGTCAAAAATGTCTAATTAAAAAGTCGAAATTTGTCTGAAGAAAAAAAACCCCACCCCGAGCACAAATATTCCGTTACTTTCCTATCGAAAGTCGGAACAAAAATGCTTGTTTGACAACAGTTTTTGTTAAAATGTCTCAATAACTACATATGGGCATACATACATACATAATCATGAATTTATGAATGCACTTAAGTCTTTATGCAATTTTTGAGTTCAATTCAAATTCATTTGCTAAAAATTAGGTAAGTTGCGCTTTCCAAATACGAACGTGAAAATGGCGCAAAAAACGAGAATGTCTGATTGGTTCCAAATTGGATTTTGACTTTTAGATTCTGCAGCGGAATCAAAATTTTACCTAATGATCCAGTTTTCTCAAATTGAGTCAGTTTCTTCAAATAGGAATAAATTGTTCTCGAAATTGAAATTTTTCTAGGTCATGTATATTTCGTTATTACTTTGAAATTCGAAAGTTGGAAATCGTTCAAAAAAAAACAATAGTTTTTTTTCTGTATCCTGGTTTTCATCGATTCTTTCCAACTTTCTGTTGGCTATGTTTTGTTGTTTTAAATTTCAACAAAATTCGAATATTGTTCTTTCTCATGTTTGTCCTTCGTGGTCTGTTTTTAACTTAAATGACTGCAAGGGCTTTAATATGATGTATTATTCGATCCTTTTCAACAATTTTTTGTTGTGCCTGGTGTTGCGTGGAAACAAAAACAAAAGAAAACAAGACTGCTCGTATCAGGGCGAAGCCCTGAATGTTCCGACTGCCTTTTAATGTTTAATAAAATGTAATAAAAATGAAAAAAAAATTCTAAAATTTGAAATTTTTTATGAAAATCATCCCCCCACACGCCTTATAAAGTTTAAAAGGATAGATTTCGCTCCTTGTAACAAATCAATTATGGCAAATAAGCTTCTTCCAACTAATTTGGAACGATTTCTAAGACGGAATAAATCTCCGCTTACGCGTTAATAGCGCGAATTATATCGCGTGTTAATTGTCCAAAATTGGTCAAAATGGCCAAAATGGCAATCTTTAAACCCTCATAACTTCACGAAAAATGATCACAGGTGAAATATTTTTTCAAATTTAAGCTCAGGACAACAATAGCTTTCGAATGATATAAAAAAATTCATATATTTCCGTCAAAAATGGCTAGTTAAAAAGTCAAAATTTGTCTGAAGAAAAAAACCCACCCCAAGCACAAATATTCCGTTACTTTCGTATCGAAAGTCGGAACAAAATTTAAAACATACCCGAATACAAAGTAACTATTGAGTATGCGACTTAGGAAAGTAACGATCGCGCTTGCTCCGCTGCTCTTTCATTCGGTATGAGAAGTATAGTGCGCGTGAATGATTGTTTGCCACCGTTAGTCTCACAATTTAGCTAATTTTACGGCTATTTCAATTTTTGTCTACCCGGTTATTTGACTCTGATGATACAAATTCAATTTTAAATTGTTGTTGCAGGCCGTTATAGCTCATTTAGGTTGAATTGGACTGCAAACTTTTCAAGTCTTCTACCCAATCGCAGTTTAACGGTAAAATTTTGATATAGCAGGCGGCAGCCAAACTTTTAGCAGAAAAGTCTCAAAACAATTTGAAGTGCATGCAATAACGTCTGCTCATAAAGCGCTCTGAGATCGAACCGTGTGCTAGCCAATCAAATTCCTTTAGGGTTCAAACTGTAACCTTGTGTAAACTAAAACATCCTCAAGGTAAACCTTTTATATTAACCAAATACCTTTTATTTTTCTAGGAGCGGTCATTTTGGGCAAAAAGTCTGGTCAAAATGAGATGGACCACTGGCGAGAGATGCTCTCCAAACGTCGTCAACCAATCACGAAGTGGCACTATCTCAAATCTGATTCGTCAGACGTATAGCCAAGCAAATTATCTCATATTGCCCAAAATTTGAAATCCTTGAAATTGGAACCAAAGCAATTGTATCATGTCAATTCATAGGAGCCTAATTGACAGTTCAGTCAACGACCAACAGGCGTATATATAATTTTAATAATCGAGAATTAGCTTTCATATGATCGATTTATGTTTGCCGATAGAATTCAGTTTGTAACGTAGTTGTATTGGAAAATTTCGATTTGGGTCAAAGTTCTGCGAAGGGAAAGTTGTTGCAAATATTATTATAAATTTTGCTGAATTTATGTATTCTAGAAACCTATTTCTTATTTACAACAGTCTATGACCCAGAATTTACTGCCCTGATAATTCTTTATTGCTTTCATTATCATTTCTTCAATAGCAAGAGATAAAAAATAACTGTGTCAAAAACGAAACGTGTTTATGCTAACCTCTAAACTCTTAAAACATGGTTTTGATTAGAAAAAAGCTCTTCGATAATTCAGTTAATCGATTCTTCATTGTAAGGTAGAAAACAAATTAGAAGTTTAAAAGCAAGCTAATTTGTTACATTTTTCCACTACGAAAAGGCATGTCATGCGTATTATCATTATCACAAATAGGTTATTGCTTTCAGAAAAACAGTGGGGGATCATTTGGTATTGTACCAATTTTGCGATTCCGCCACTTTTTTCGGTTTCATCGGGTAAGGCTCAAGCTGCAAGAATGCGGAAAACCATTTTCAAAACAAAGGGTTATGGAAACTAATGGGAAAATAAAGCTAAAAACTACGTCACTGGCAAGAAAAAACAGAAAAACTCATCATTATTGCTCTTTGCAGCAGTCAAAACAAAAAACTCTCCGAAATTGGCGCATAGTTTTTTGTAAGAAGGCAATTAATTGCTTCGAGGTCTGCGAGATAAAAAAAAAGAAAAATTGGAAAGTTTTTATACGAATAGGGCGGTTCTTATACCAAATCTCATAGTCGAGCCGCAGGTCAAAATTGCATCGTTAAGTCTTGAGTTGCACGCTCTGGGACTCAAAGTCTTAATCAATTAAGTCTAGAGTTACACGCTTTGGGATTCAAAATTTTAATTAAAGATCTAAGGTAAGGATTAGGACTATTTATCCACGGGGGAAAGGACCAACACAAGAGCTGTACAGCTCATCACGGCCAATAAGAACTACATAAAAGTTTGAGAAGCGATACCGCGTTATTTCACTGGCTTACCATGTAAAAACACAATTATAGAGAAGCCTGAAAGTTGGTTTATATCGAAAAAAAACACAGACTGATAAATTAATTTCGTAGTAAAGTAACAATCAAAAAGCCAAGTAAAAAAGAAGTGGTTTAACTTACCTAAAAGGGAAAATTACAATTTACTAAGGATTTTTCTTCATTTATGGCGGTGTTTTGAAGCCTGCCCGTCATAAATTTTTGTTCGCGGCGGTGAAAACTATAAACTGAAGCTTAAACCTGCCGCAGGTCACGCTGGTTTGTGATTGCCTGTATGAAATTACAAGATTTTGTTTCTAATTATTACACGATCTCGATATATCGAAACCCTCTTAAAGCATTTTAAGATTTTCTCCCGGGGTCGAGATCCTCGATTTATGTCCAGAATGTCGCGACCAAATTTTGAGATTTCCAGATTTGTGCAATCAGTTTCGACATTTCTAGACATTCACCATGGGTTTGTCGCGAAGTTTTGCGACCGGAAACATCAGTCGCTTATGTTGCTATCAAGAGGAGAAGACAGAAACCGACAGACAACAGCGCAAGCAACTTGCGAAAGAAAAAAAAGTCGTGAACGTATTTGTATTTCCAAAATCTTTGTATATGACTTCATGCATTTTATTTCTTGCAGGCTCAAGTTTTTGTTTTCGCACGACTCAAAATTTCACACTTTGATTTTGTCTAAAAGTTATAGATTTTTAACTTTTTTCCCCAAAAACTATTCGATATGAATAAAGGAACAGTCGGAACATTCAGAGCTTTGCCTTGATAGACGAGCAGTCTTGTTCAGTTAGAAATTTGACGGGTTTCCAAATAATTATCTGAAAATTATTGATGACCTGAGCACAACTTCAAAAAAATTTGTTACAGGTGACATTGTTATTGCAAAAAACCTTTTTGGGATAATTAACGAGCGATATAATTTGTGCTATTAAAGTCCAAGCCTCGATTCGATCCAGCCAAGAACTTGTTCCAAATTTTATTGAGGCATGCTAGTTATTCAAATTTATACATAACTATATGATAAATGTAAATTTTTGTACTTCACATAAAAGTTAGTGGCAGGTTTTTCTATTTTCTTTTAAAAATTCAATTATTTTGTTTTATTCGAACTTATAGACATTTAAAGACAGTCGGAGTTTTCAAGGCGTAGCTTTGATACAAGCAGTCTTGTTTGTTCCAAATTTTATTGAGGCATGCTAGTTATTCGAACTAATACAGAACTATATGCTAAATATAACTTTTTGTACTTCACATAAAAGTTAGTGGCCGGGGTTTCTATTTTCTTTTTAAAATTCTATTAATTTGTTTTAAACGAACTTATAGACATTTAAGGACAGTCGGAGTTTTCAAGGCGTAGCTTTGATACAAGCAGTCTTGTTTGTTCCAAATTTTATTGAGGCATGCTAGTTATTCGAACTAATACATAACTATATGCTAAATATAAATTTTTGTACTTCACATAAAAGTTAGTGGCCGTGTTTTCTATTTGTTCCGACTTTCGATACGAAAGTAACGGAATATTTGTGCTCGGGGTGGGTTTTTTTTCTTCAGACAAACTTCGACTTTTTAACTAGCCATTTTTGACGGAATTTTTAAATATCATTCGAAAGCCATTGTTGTCCTGAGCTTAAATTTGAAAAGATATTTCACCTGTGATCACTTTGCGTGAAGTTATGAGGGTTTAAAGATTGCCATTTTGTTCAATTTGGGACAACTAAAGCGCAATATAATTCGCGCTATTAATCCGTCTTATAAATCGTTCCAAATTGGTTGAACGAAGCTTATTTGCCATAATTGATTTGTTACAAGGAACGAAATCTGTCTTTTTCTACTTTATATGGCGTGTGGGGGATGATTTTCATAAAAAATTTCAAATTAAAAAAAAAAGATTTTCATTTTATTTTATTTCTTTTATTTTTTTATGTTATTACTGCTGCTCCATAAACCTTAAAAGGCAGTCGGAACATTCAGGGCTTTGCCCTGATACGAGCAGTCTTGCTTCTTTTTAAAATTCAATTAATTTGTTTTAATCGAACTTATAGACATTAAGGGACAGTCGGAGTTTTCAAGAGGTAGCCTTGATACAAGCAGTCTTGTTTGTATTTAAATCAGCTGAAATTGGTGTCATCAATGACAAAACGCAGCCCTATAATTACTGTGAATGAAATTAAAATGCTGTTTTTAGCTGCTGGACTTTAAGTTTTTTCAACTCTTACACAAGAATTGGGAATTGCACAGTGACGGAATTAGGTTACACCAAGCTATAAAAAATGAATTGTTGTTTAAAATTGTTTGTGCTCATAATTTTCAATTCAAATTTGGAAAAAAATTCCAATTCAAATATTTAGACATTTTATTTCAGATATTTAGACATTTTCAATTCAAATATTCAGATATTTTAAAATAGTTTTCAGTTTTTGAATCGTTTACATTCACTGCCAAGCTAAAAACAGATAGTTGCATGTGTTAAAGCGATTTTTAGACGACTTATGAAGTACCTCAAAACAATAAAGGTCCACTTAAATGATAGCTAGCTTGCTGTTTACGCGTTGGTCATGACATATTACTATAAGCAGAGCACTCAAAAACTAATTCCAACTGGGCCACTAAAAAGGTTATTCAAGAACGGCTTTAATGGTCTGAAAAATGGGAGTAAAAATGATTTTTCGATTAAGTTTTTTAAAAATTTGTAAAAAAAAAACACGGAAACATTTGCATTCTCAAATGCTATATTGGAATTCAATAGTTGCACAAAGAAGAAAATAAAATTTCGCAATTATAAATTTTCTCCAGTTTAACTTCGGTGAGTTACGACCTACATAGTTTTTGTCGAATCATTGCTTGTTGGTTCTTCAATTTTACACTTTATAAGTTTGTTCAAATTGTCTGAGTAACCAGGAATTATAAAAGTACGCTTTTTCATTGTTCCTCTTTTTGAATAAAATGGTATAAAACTTATACTCGGTGATTAATTTCATGTTTGGTTTCAAATTTGTTTTTGAACTCATTGCTTCTATCGTCTGAAGTGTATTATCAATCCCTCAATCTATTCATTTCTTCAGAAACCAAAACACAACGCACATAAGTTTCTGTCATTTTCTTCGGCTTTTTCTAATTTTTGCTTTTTAGTTCCGACTTTCGAATACATCGAGGAATGTATATCTTAAGGTTTCTGAAATTTTTTATTCATACAAAATTTTCAACGTTTGAGAGCTTGGGGAACTATTCTGGAAATTTCTTTTTCTCATTGGGTTGCTTGCCTTTGACTAACTGCGGTTGCAAAACTTCATTATACTTTTTCATTGTTTCAATACGCGACTTCTTATATTCGAAAAAACCATTACTCATAGTATTCCAAACTGCATTGAGGCGAATTAATTTTGCCATTTTAATACTGCATATGATCCAAATTTTAGCACTTAAAATTTAAGGTTGACCGTCCAAAGCTTATAGTATATCAAAATTTTGTTCACCAAAAACTATTCGAGGCTAGTCTGATGGCAGTCTAATCATTTAAGGTTTATCCTCGAAAATGCGCAGTCTTGTTTTTTCGACTTTTAAGAGAAAGATTTGAGGTGAATTAAATTGGTCATATTAATTCAGTGAATGACTCCCAATTTAACACTTTTTAATTGGTAAGGGCGGTCCAAAGAGTATGGTTTCAAAAAAATTTGTTTTCCGAAAACTATTTGATAGCAAGGAAAGGAACAGTCAAAAAATTCAGGGCTCTGCAGTCATGTAGTATACAGATTTACTCAGCAGTTTGTTGTTCAAGTTTTCATACTAGCATATTGTAGGGAATCCGAAGTGTTTCCAGGGATAAGTCAAGGTTAAAAACTGAACTTATTTGAAAATTTATGATGTCTAAGAACTGACATCATTAATTAGCGACAATGATTCTAAGACAAACGACTTGTTGAGGGTAAAAAATCGTTGTAAACAATTTTCAAGGTTATTTGACAAGCATATAGAAAGAAAGCTGAGACGATTCATACTCTTGCTTAGCTAATATTAGCGATATTGAAGTTTAACACGGGAAAATCCGGGACAA